TTCCTTCCATCCATTTATCCATGCCCCCTTTCTTTCTTCCTTCCTTCCATCCATCTGTCTTTTCCCTCTTTTCCTTCCTTCCTTTTTTGCTTTCCTCCCTTCATTCTTTTGTTCCTTTAATGTTCCTTATTTCTTCCTTCTCTTCTATCTGTCCTTCCCCCTCCTTTCACCCTTTCCTTCTTTCCTCTTCCTTCCTTTCCTTTTTTCCTTCCTTTCCCTGTTTTCCTCCCTCCCTCCCTCCCTCCCTCCCTCCCTCCCTTCCTTCCTTCCTTCCTTCCTTCCTTCTCTTCCTCCTGCCCCCCAGACAATGTTTCTCTCATCCGAGTGTCCAGGGCCCCCAATCCTCTTACAGCGGCTGACCTCCATTTCCATTTCCTTTTTCAAGGAGGGGGGATTGGGCTTCTTAAGGGTTGGGTTTAATCCTCTTTCTCTCGCAAAGAGGCTCCACCCCAGTTCCCTTGACCATCAGGTTGATGACGACAATTATTATTATTAATAGCTATTATTATTATTATCATTATTCTCGAGGCAGGTCACATCACAATTAAACACATTGCAAAAATTATATCAACACATGGCAGGCTTATAGGTTAGAGGAGGCATGGGCAAACTTTGGCCCTCGAGGTGCTTTGGACTTCAACTCCCACCATTCTTAACAGCCTTTGACCCTTTCCTTTTCTTCTCCTTTTCCGCTTAAGTGGCTGAGAGGGAAAAGGAAGGGGCCTGAGGCTGTTAGGAATGGTGGGAGTTAGAGTCCAAAGTTTGCCCATGCCTGGTATAACTACATAAACAGATTTGGATTTATCTGGGCTGGCAGGAAATCTCGTCTCTCTGCATAAAAACCCATGAACAATGGGTTTGATGAATTGCCTTGGCTTGGGAAATGGCCAGAGGGGCTTGCTTTACATTGACACCTTCAGACTTACCCATTTTCTTGGAACTTCATCGTTTTTGTTTTGTTTTGATCTTACTTTTGTCTAACTGTTAGGAATTGTGGGAGTTGAAGTCCAAAGCACCTGGACGGAGGGCCAAACTTTGCCCATACCTAATATAACTCGAGGGGTTTGTTTTTTTGGACGTCTTCTGACTTATCCACTTTCTCGGAACTTAGTTGTTTCTTTTTTGTTTTGGTCTAACTCTCGGACATTAGGAAATGGCTAACTCCTGGCTGTTGGGAATTGTGGGAGTTGAAGTCCAAAACACCTGGAGGGAAGGTCCAAGTTTGCCCAGGAAATCCCCCCTCTCTGTATATAAACACATCAACAATGGGTTTGGTGAATTGTCTTGGCTTGGGAAATGGCCAGAGGGGTTTGCTTTACATTGACATCTTCAGACTTGTTCTCTTTTTCAGAACTTAGTTGTTTCATTTTTGTTTTGGTCTAACTCTCGGACATTAGGAATTGTCTAACTCGCGGCTGTTGGGAATTGTGGGAGTTGAAGTCCAAAACACCTGGAGGGAAGGCCCAGGTTTGCCCAGGAAATCCCCCCTCTCTGCATATAAACACATCAACAATGGGTTTGGTGAATTATCTTGGCTTGGGAAATGGCCAGAGGAGTTTGCTTTACATTGATATCTTCAGACTTGTTCTCTTTTTTGGAAGTTAATTGTTTCATTTTTGTTTTGATCTCACTTTCAGCCATTGGGGACTGTCAAACTCCTGGCTGTTAGGAATTGTGGGAGTGGAAATCCAAAACACCTGGAGGGAGGGCCTAAGTTTGCCCATGCCTGATCTAATTAGATAAACAGGTTTAGATTTATCTGGGCTGGCAGGAAATCCCCTCTCTCTGCATATAAATGCATCAACTGTCAGGACCCAGAAGCCTCAAGTAGAGCCAAACACAAGATAAAGAGTTCAAACACAGCTTTATTGTACAAAAATAGTCTTTCAAAGCACTTAACTTCAGTGCAGAAAGTCAAAGTAGCAATTTGGCATCAAAAACGCAACGATACAAGAAACAAAAATATAACCCGGATTATAACGCTGTTTAATCCGGGTTAAACTCAAAGTTCAGCAATCTGCTTGAAAATTAACACAGCACAAAAACACACAGAAGATGGAAAACGATGTCCCAAAAACGATGTGATGTTCTAGTACAAAGTTAGCAGAGTTTAAAGTCCAAAAAGCCAAAAGCGATAGTCAAACCGGTCCGTGGTCAAGCCGTAGAAGAAGGTAAACACTGGAACGCAGGAATGCAGGAACACAGGAACCTGTAGCCCAAGGATCCAAGCTCGAGAGTTGGCAGTAACAAAGATTTATGTCCCATAAAGACACTTTGCCTTCTGCAAAGTATCATTCAAACAGAACCCACTTTTATCCTTGATTTCCTCATTAGAGGATGATGAGCTCCCCACCCTTTCCTCATCGCTCTCAGCTGCATCCAACCCTGCAGCTGAACCCGAGTGCGCATCCCTCCACCTCTGCCAGCGTCTGCCAAGACTTAGATCTTGCCAAGTGCTCCCCGGTTGCCAATCCCCTGTGAACCCCTCAAATTAATCACTGGAGGTGGATTGGTTACAATGTCCCTAATCTGCTGAACACGGGTCCAATCCAGCTCCTCCTCCTCTCCCATATCACTCCCAGAACCATAACTCCTTTCAAACCCCATGAAATCCTCATCCTCCATAGGAGCACTAAGTATTTCCCGGATTCGCTTCCTCTGAAGCTCCTCATCGGACTCCGGATCGCTAGTAGCCCTCTTTACTCCCCTACTCTCCTCCCCATCTCCCATTTCGCAATCAGAGAAGCCTTCAAACGTCTCAGAATCACTTGGGGCCATAATTATTTCCCTAATGCATTTCCGCTATTGCTCCTCCTCTGACTCCTGCGCAGACCTCTTCTCCCTCCTACCAGTAGTAGGAACGTTACCATCACGCTGAACTACAACATCAACAATGGGTTTGGTGAATTGCCTTGGCTTGGGAAATGGCCAGTGGGGTTTGTTTTTCATTGACATCTTCAGACTTATCCACTTTCTCAGAACTTTGTCATTTTTTTTATTTTGATCTAACTCTCGACCATTAGGAATTGTCTAACTCCCTGGTGTTAGGAATTTTGGGAGTTGAAGTCCAAAGCACCTGGAGGGCAGGCCAAAGTTTGCCCATGCCTGATATAACTAGATAAACGGGTTTGGATTTATCTGGGCTGGCAAGAAATCTCCTCTCTCTGCCTACAAACATATCAACAATGGGTTTGGTGAATTGTCTTGGCTTGGGAAATGGCCAGAGGGGTTTGTTTTACATCGACATCTTCAGACTTATCCACTTTCTCAGAACTTAGTCATTTCTTCTTTTTTTTTATCTAACTCTCAAACATTCGGGACTGTCCAACTCCCAGCTGTTAGGAATTGTGGGAGTTGAAGTCCAAAACACCTGGAGGGAAGGCCAAAGTTTGCCCAAGCCTGGTTTAGAGAGACCCCTTTGGCTTCGTGCATTAACACCATGCAAAATACAGAACGTGGTGCTGCTTCTGCTGCTGGGGGTGATTTGCACTTGCCGAGGCCTCCGGTCTCCAGCTGCCCTTTCCTTGTAATGTATGCTCATTAAACCAAGTCCCTGCTCAGCGAGAGGATTAAACGGCCTTTTATGTGACAACCCTTCAGATCTTGGGAGGACTGAGGAGGGCGGGGAGCGTGCATTTGGGTCCCAAACGCTCTGTTTCCCAGCCTCAAAAAGAAGGGATGATGCTCAGGTGCTGGGAGGCAGGGAGATGGATCAAATCCCCAAATCTCATTAAGATGACAATGATTATTACCATTAAGATTGCAATGGGAGCCGCAAGTGGAGCAGGCTAAAGAAAGAGACCCATTGGGTCATTGCGCTGCATCTCTCTCACTGTGCTCCTGGGTTATCAGTGTCATTTCCTAATTGGTTTTATCCTCAACATATAGGGAAAGTTTATTCAACTGCACAAACTTTGTTTTTTGATGATGACAATAATAACCTCAAAATAATAATATCAATAGCCTAATAATAATAATAATAATAATAATAATAATAATAGTAATAATAATAATACGCATACCATAGATGTATAGATAGATAGATAGATAGATAGATAGATAGATAGATAGATAGATAGATAGAGACATGTAGTTGGAAGTGGTATATAGATAGATAGATTATAGATACATAGATATAGATATATAGATCTAAGATAGATAGATAGATAGAGACATGTAGTTGGAAGTGGTATATAGATAGATAGATTATAGATACATAGATATAGATATATAGATCTAAGATAGATAGATAGATAGATAGATAGATAGATAGATAGATAGATAGATAGATAGAATCCTATACTTGGCATGAACTCTAAAGGTCATCCAATCCAACTCCCTAAGAGATAGATAAATATATGATAGATAGATAGATGGATGGATGGATGGATGGATGGATGGATGGATAGATAGATAGATAGATAGATAGATAGATAGATAGATAGAATCCTATACTTGGCATGTACTCTAAAGGTCATCCAATCCAACCCCCTAAGAGATAGATAGATAGATAGATAGATAGACAGACAGATAGATAGATGGATGGATGGATGGATGGATGGATGGATGGACGGACGGACGGACGGACGGACGGATGGATAAATAGAGACATATAGAAAGCCCTTGGGGTCCCTTCCAAATCTAGGATTCTATGATTGATAGATAGATGTATAGATAGATGGATGGATAGATAGATAGATAGATAGATAGATAGATAGATAGATAGATAGATGATGGAGACAGATAGTTGGAAGTGGTATATAGATAAAGAGATAGATAGATAGATAGATAGATAGATAGATAGATAGATAGATAATAGATGGATGATTGAGTGATGAAACCCTACATGGACTCCCAAAGACCATCCAGTCCAACCCTAAGATAGATAGATAGATAGATAGATAGATAGATAGATAGATAGATAGATGGCATTCTGAATCAAGGGAGCGACACTCACAGCTGGCCTGTCTCTCTGTCTGTGTGTCTGTCTCTCTGCCCAGGTGCAAATGCAACCTGCACGCCAACCAGTGCACCTTCCGGGAGGGCAGCCTCCAGTGCGAATGCGAGCACAACACCACGGGCCAGGACTGCGGCCGCTGCAAGAAGAACTTCCGCAGCAAGTCCTGGAGGGCCGGCTCCTACCTCCCGCGCCCCAACGGCTCCCCAAACATCTGTAAGTAGCACCTAATACTACTCCGCACCTGTAGCATCCCTTCAGTAGTAGGATATGTGGCTGCCAGGCGGTCCTTCTTTCTCTGGAGGAAAAGTTGGATGGCCATCTGTCAGGAGGGATCAGATGATGTCTTCCCTTCATGGAAGGAAGGGGTTGGACTGGATGGCCCTTGGGGATCCCTTCCAACTCTAGGATTCCTTACTCCTATTATTATTTTTATTATTATTGTTGTTATTATTATAAAACAGGCTGGATGGCCATCTGTCGGGAGGGATTGAATGCTGTCTTCCCTTCATGGAAGGAAGGGATTGGACTGGATGGCCCTTGGGGAATCTATCCAACCTTAGGATTCTATTATTATTATAGTTATTAAGCAGAGCTTGGGTGGCCATCTGATAGGAAGGATTGAATGGTGTCTTCTTCAAGGTAGGAAAGTGTTGGACTGGATTGTCTTTGACTCCCCACTGTAGGATCTTGTTGTTGTTGTTGTTGTTAAGCAGAGGCTGGATGGCCATCTATCAGGAGGGATTGAATGGTGTCTTCCCTTCACGGCAGAAAGGGGTTGGGCTGGATGGCCTTTGGGGATCCCATCCCACTTTAGGCTTCTATTATTATTATTATTATCATCATCATCATCATCATCATCATCATTATTATTATTATTATTATTAAGCAGAGGCTGGATGGCCATCTGTCAGGAGAGATTGAATTGTGTCTTCTTTGTGGCAGGAAGGGGTTGGACTGGATTGTCCTTGGGAAAAGCAGACTGGATGGCCATCTATCGGGAGGGATTGAATAGTGTCTTCCCTTTGCGGCAGAAAAAGGTTGGACTGGATGTCCTTTGGGGATCCCATTCCACTTTAGGATTGTATTATTATTGTTGTTATTTTTATTAAGCAGAGGCTGGGTGGCCATCTATCAAGAGGGATTGAATTGTGCCTTCTTCATGGCAGGAAAGGGTTGGACTGGATTGTCCTTGGGAAAAGCAGAATGGATGGCCATCTATCAGGAGGGCTTGAATTGTGTCTTCCCTTCACAGCAGGAAGGGGTTGTACTGCATGGCCTTTGGGGATCCCATGCCACTTTAGGATTCTATTATTATTATTATTATTATTATTATTATTATTATTATTGGTATCAAGCAAATGTTGGGTGGCCATCTGTTGGGAGGGCTTGGATGGTGTCTTCCTTCATGAGAGGAAAGGGGTTGGTCTGGATGGTCTTTGGGGATCCCATGCCACTTTGGGATTCTATTATTATTATTATTATTGCTATCAAGCAAAGGTTGGGTGCCTATCTATTGGGAGGGCTTGGATGGTGTCTTTCTTCATGAGAGGAAAGGGGTTGGACTGGATGGCCTTTGGGGATCCCATGCCACTTTAGGATTCTATTATTATTATTATTATTATTATTATTATTATTATTATTATTAGTGGTATCAAGCAAAGGATGGGTGGCCATCTGTTGAGAGGGCTTGGATGGTGTCTTCCTTCACGAGAGGAAAGGGGTTGGACTGGATGGCCTTTGGGGATCCCATGCCACTTTAGGATTCTATTATTATTATTATTGTTGTTGCTATCAAGCAAAGGTTGGGTGTCCAACTGTTGGGAGGGCTTGGATGGTGTCTTCCTTCATGAGAGGAAAGGGGTTGGACTAGATGGCCTTTGGGGATCCCTTCCAACTTCATAGAGAAATACAGACAGCCTGAGAGTTTGGCGGCATCCCCACCTGGTCTGTGACCCTAATGATAACATCAATTCATTAATGGAGCCGCTTCTCCAGAGGTTTTGGAAGCAGAGGCTGGATATGGCCATCTGTCGAGAGGGCTTGGACCCCGCGGCAGGTGACCTTCTCCTGTCACCTTAGAGAGGAGGATCAAAGCAGGCGCCTGGGCGCCACAGGCCTTGACAGGAGCGCATTGCGTTGCAGGGAGGGAGCTTTGAAGGGAAGGCGCTTGTCAGGCGGTGATGCCGATGCTGCTGCTGCTGCCATGCGCCGGGTGCCTTCAAAGGAGCCACAGGGAGCCTTTCGGGCAGGACAGGCATGGCAGGCGATACGCACACACTCCAAGCCCACTCCACCTCCATATCAAGCAGGGATGCCATACCTGAGAGCTGCTCTGTGTGGAAGTTCAAAGCCAATGGAGCCCATTCAGAGTAAGGGAGGCCCCTTCTGCATGAAAGTTAGGGGTCCTCAAGCTCCTGGTGTCATATGTCGAGGACTGATACCAGCTAGTGGTCATCAAAGCACAGAAAACCCAAGTCCTGATTGATGTCAACTCTATATTGAGTCCATATGTAAAGGAGTTATGTCATTCGTCTAGTATTGGCGTCATATATCAAGTAGTGATGATGTTATACCTGCTAGGTGCCCTGTTCAAAATGAATCAGGCCCATTTGGAGTAAGGGAGACTCTTTCGGACTGACATACTTCCGACCTGATGTCACGTCGCAAGTCGTGATGTCATAGGTCTAGTACTGCTGCAAGGCAGTTATGTCATCCCTGATATCTGCTCTGAGTGGGCATTCCGAGCAAATAATAAAGCCCATTCGGAAAACACTTTTGGATAGTCAAGTGCATTCATACTGATATCATGTCTCAAGTCATGATGTCATACGTCTAGCAGTGGTGTCATCCCTGATATCTGCTCTGGGTGAGCATTCTGAGCGAATAATAAAGCCCATTCGGAGCAAGGGAAACATTTTTGGATAGTCAAGTACTGACATCATGCATTCATACTGATGTCATGTCTCAAGTCATGATGTCATACATCTAGCAGTGATGCCATCCTCAATATCTGCTCTGTGTAGGCATTCTGAGTGAATAATAAAGTCCATTGGGAGCAAGGGAGACTCTTTCGGATAGTCATGTACTGACGTCATACCTCCATACTGATTTAAATCATGATATCATACATCTAGCAGTGATGTCATCCCCAATATCTGCTCTGGGTGGGCATTCCGAGCGAATAATAAAACCCATTCAGAGCAAGGGAAGCACTTTTGGATAGTCAAGTACTGACATCATGCATTCATACTGATGTTATGTTTCAAGTCATGATGTCATACGTCTATCAGTGATGTCATCCCCAATATCTGCTTTGGGTGGGCATTCTGAGCCAATAATAAAGCCCTTTGGGAGCAAGGGAGACACTTCTGGATAGTCAAGTAGTGATATTTATTTAGTGCTGATGTTGTATTATATCAAGTGGTGATGTATGACCTGATATCGATGTCATACATCAAGTAGCGATGATGTCATACCTGTTAGTGGTCCAGTGTTGAAGGTTCAAAGCAAATCAAGTCCATTAAGAGCAAGAGAGAGACTTTCAGATAGTCAAGTACATACATCCATACTGATGTCATATCTCAAGTCATCATGTCATACATCTAGTTAAGTACTGACGTCATACATCCATACTCATGTAAACCATGAAGTCATACATCTAGCAGTGATGTCATCCCCAATATCTGCTCTGGGTGGGCATTCCGATTGAATAATAAAGCCCATTGGGAGCAAGGGAGACACTTCTGGATAGTCAAGTAGTGATGTTTATTTAGTAATGATATCGTATTATATCAAGTGGTGATGCCATACCCAATAGCTGATGTCATACATCAAGTAGTGATGATGTCATAACTGTTAGTGGTCCAGTGTTGAAGGTTCAAAGCAAATCAAGCCCATTAGGAGCAAGGGAGACACCTTCAGATAGTCAAGTACATACATCCATACTGATGTCATATCTCAAGTCATCATGTGATACATCTAGCAGTGATGTCATCCCTGATATCTGCTCTGAGTGGGCATTCCAAGCGAATAATAAAGCCCATTCAGAGCAAGGGAGACACTTTCGGATAGTCAAGTGCTGACATCATGCATTCATACTGATACCATGTCTCAAGTCATGATGTCATACATCTAGCAGTGATGCCATCCTCAATATCTGCTCTCGGTGGGCATTCTGAGCCAATAATAAAGCCCTTTTGGAGCAAGGGATACACTTTTGGATAGTGAAGTACTGACGTCATACATCCATACTCATGTTATGTCTTAAGTTGTGATGTCATACGTCTAGCAGTGATGTCATCTCTGATATTTGCTCTGGGTGGGCATTTGGAGCAAATAATAAAGCCCATTCAGAAGAAGAAAGACTATTTCGGATAGTCATGGGCTGATGCCATATGTTGAGTGGTGATGTTTATTTCATATTGATGTTGTCTTATATCAGGTAGTGATGCCATACCTGATAGCTGCTCTGGGTTGATGATTTAAAGCAAATCAAGCCTATTGAGAGCAAGGGAGGCTTTTTCGGTAGTCAAGTGCAGACGTCATACGTCAAATGGTGATATTTAGTATTGATGTCATATTATATCAGGTCTCATTTCAAGTGGCAATGCTCATATCAAGACCTGATCACTGCTCTGTGTTGAGGGTTCAGAGCAAATCAAGCCTGTTCAGAGCAAGGGAGGCACTTACCGTATAGAATCATAGAATCAAAGAGTTGGAAGAGACCTCATGGGCCATCCAGTCCAACCCCCTGCCAAGAAGCAGGAATATTGCATTCAGATCACCCCTGACAGATGGCCATCCAGCCCCTGCTTAAAAGCTTCCAAAGAAGGAGCCTCCACCACACTCTGGGGCAGAGAGTTCCACTGCTGAACGGTATGATAAAAGCATACGGTTTCAGGGTCGTTGTGCAAAGATGCAGACTTTACAAATCAAGTCAAACCTTGTTAAGTGTAACTTTTCTAAATAATGAGCTGTTGTTGTGCCCAAGCGGATGGGGGACGAGTGACCCTTCCCTGGCAAAAGGCCAGAGGAAGAGGACGCTAATAAGTCGCAGGTCGCCGCAAGCCAAGCGGGTGCGAGACCCGTCTCTCCGCTTTGGCCTCTTTGGACGTCCCTTTGGTCCCTTGTCCTCCTTGGGAAGCAAAGCTCCTTTCAATTAGCGGCAATGCCCTCCGTTGTGCTGGCTGACCTCTTCTTCTCTTTCTCCTTCTCCTTTTCTAGGTGCGGCTCCGAACTTTGGCAGTAAGTAACAAACACGTCTCAAAATGCATTCGGTGCACAATCCCTCAGCCTTTTCTGTCTGACGCATTTGGCCTCTTCGGCCTCCGGTTGAGCCTCGTTTTCCGCCTCTCTCGACTCCGGTCACCTTCATTGTCTGTCGCTTTTCATCCCTCCCTGCAAGGTTTGTTGGGAAGGAAATGCATGCAAAAGGGGCCTCCGAAACAACGACAAAGGGGGCCGCAAACTCCTCCGCCTGTATCTCACAACTTTTGTTGGGAAACAACTTTGCGGCTCCGACAGTGACTGGGGTCTCTGGCGCATTTGTCAGGCTCCGAATGGTCTTTTTAAAATATATATGAAGCGCAAGAGCTGCGTTTGCCGGTGAAATGTCACTCGGCTTCAAGCAGGGCAAAGGGAGCTGCAGGGAGAGAGAAGAAAAGGCCACGGGGAAAGGAAACAGGGCCACGTACCGTGAGATCGAACGGGTTCTCCATGGGTTCTAATGAATGGTTTTGGTCTTTCGAGCTGGCATGGCTCTTCTTTGGGTCGATTTGGGGGGTCTCTGGGGATGTCAGGACCCCATCTTCCCTGCTTCCACATTGGGTTCATCTACACCAGGCATGGGGAAACTTGGGCCCTCCCTCCAGGTGTTTTGGACTTCAACTCCCACCATTCCTAACAGCCTCAGGCCCTTTCCTTTTCCCCCTTAGCCGCTTAAGCTAGATGATAGAGTGATAGACCTAAGAGAGGCCTATCTTCATGTCTCAATAGATCAGTGTTTCTCAACCTGGGGGTCGGGACCCCTGGGGGGGTCGCGAGGGGGTGTCAGAGGGGTCATCAAAGACCATCTGAAAACACAATATTTTCTGCTGGTCATTGGGGTTCTGTGTGGGAAGTTTGGCCCAATTCTATCGTTGATGGGGTTCAAGGGGCTCTTTGATTGTAGGTGAACTATAAATCCCAGCAACTACAACTGCCAAATGTCAAGGTCTATTTTCCCCAAACTCCACCAGCATTCACATTTGGGCATATGGAGTATTCATGCCAAGTTTGGTCCAGATCCATCATTCTTTGAGTCCACCATGCTCTCTGGATGTAGGTGAACTACAACTTGAAAATTCAACGTCAATGCCCACCAAACCCTTCCAGTATTTTCTGTTGGTCATAGGAGTTCTGTGTGCCAAGTTTGGTTCAGTTCCATTGTTGGTGGAGTTCAGAATGCTCTTGGATTATAGGTGAACTATGAATCCCAGCAACTACAACTCCCAAATGACAACTCTTCCCCAAACCCAACAAAATTTAAATTGGGGCGTATTGGGTATTTGTACCAAATTTGGTCCAGTGAATGAAAATACATCCTGCAGATCAGATATTTACATTACAATTCATAACAGTAGCAAAATTACTGTTGTGAAGGAGCAACGAAAATAATTCTATGTTTGGGGGTCACCACAACATGAGGAAGTGTATTAAGGGGTCACGGCATTAGGAAGGTTGAGAAACACAGCAATAGATAGATGATAGAATGATAGATCTAAGAGAGGCCTACCTTCATGTCACAATAGATAGATAGATATAACATTTAAGCGGCTGAGGGGGAAAAGGAAGGGTCCTGAGGCTGTTAGGAATGATGGGAGTTGAAGTCCAAAACACCTGGAGGGAGGGCCCAAGTTTGCCCATGCCTGATATATTTATTATTTATTATTATTATTATTTACAGTTCTTATATTCCGCCCTTCTCACCCTGCAGGGGACTCAGAGCGGATTACAGTAAACACATATATGGCAAGCATTCAATGCCAGTTTGACAAACAACATTTAACAGACAAAGGCTATTTAACTTTTTTCTGGCCGCCAGGGGAGCTGCTGCTTTTCATCGTCCATCAACGACACCGATGAAGTTCTTCTGCATTCCACATTCCCCGGAGTCTTTTTTCTTTATGGCCTCATAAATTAGTTAAATTTAGCCTCCCACACAAGGTGGTCCCTTATTTTCCTACTTGACAGATGCAACTGTCTTTCGGGTTGCAAAGGTCGACAACGGGCTACACAATGGCTGGACACCCACTCCAGCCCGGGCTGGCTTCGAACTCATGACCTTTTGGTCAGAGTGATCTTAATGCAGCTGACACCCAGCCAGCTGCGCCACAATCCCGGTGATATAGCTAGATAAACAGGTTTGGATTTATCTGGGCTGGCAAGAAAACCTCTCTCTCTGTATACAAACACATTGCCTTGGCTTGGGAAATGGCCAGAGGGGTTTGCTGCGGGGGAAGAGGAAGGGGCYTGAGGCTGTTAGGAATTGTRGGAGTTGGAGTCAAAAACACCTGGAGGGAGGGCCCAAGTTTGCCTATGCCTGATATAGCTGGATTTATCTGGGCTCTCTCTGTATACAAACACATTTCCTTGGCTTGGGAAATGGCCAGAGAGGTTTGCTGCGGGGGAAGAGGAAGGGGCCTGAGGCTGTTAGGAATTGTGGGAGTTGAAGTCCAAAACACCTGGAGGGAGGGCCCAAGTTTGCCCATGCCTGATATAGCTAGATAAACGGGTTTGGATTTATCTGGGCTGGCAAGAAAACCTCTCTCTGTGTATACAAACACATTGCCCTGGCTTGGGAAATGGCCAGAGGGGTTTGCTGTGGTGGAAGAGGAAGGGGCCTGAGGGGGGGATATTGAAAATGTAACACTATCCAAATGTCCCAGGCTCAGCCATCTCTTATTTTACAGTTGACACACACACCAAATAAGTGATTTTTTGCATGCTCCAACAAAGTCTGCACATTTCACAACATATTCGTGTAACTCAAGCCAACAAGTATTTTTCATCAGACATAATTTTAGGTCACTCTTTATAGAGTTTTTTTGCGCTGAATACATATCTGTGTGCATTTTTTCCCCATCACATGTAGTTTTTGCGACAAGGCTAATTGAATAATTAATGCATTTACACACATATCAATTAGATTCTATTGATATCAGTGTGTAAATGCATTAATTGTTCAATTATCCTCATTGTAAAAACTACACGTGATAGAGAAAAAAGACACACAGATCTGAATTCAGCGCAAAAAAACTCTAAAAGAATGACCTAAAATTATATCTGATGAAAAATACTTGTTGCCTTGAGTTACATGAATATGATGTGAAATGTGCAGACTTTGTTGGAGCTTGCAAGAAATCAGATAGTGTGTGTGTATCAACCGTAAAATAAGAGATGGCTGAGCCTGGGACTTTTGGATACCGTTACATTTTCAGAATCTCGCCTTGAGTTGCCTTCGGGCTTGAGAAAGCCGGGATAGAAATATAAAACTAAGTCGTATCAGAATGGAAGGTGAGATAGAAATATCGTAAATAAATGAATAAATAAATAATAATGGGATACGCCTTGAAATTACAGGCGTATGTTGTATTTTTGTTCTTGGTGGTGATACTGTAGTGTTGTTGTTGTTATTGCTGATGTTAGGGCGCATCTTAACAATCAATGGCATCTTACAATGGCTGGAATACAGTAATTGCTGGGACCTGTCGGGATCCCAAACATGGACGGATTGGACCTTTCTGCTAGAATGCGTCCCTTTGGGGAAGAAACCTTTGCGAGAAACATGATGTCTGCCTTTCTTTCTTCTTTTCCCCACCTTCATTATTATTTTTCCCCCTCTCGTTTAGCAAACGAGCGGCCAAAGAGGGTCACCACCACCACCACAAGGGCTACCACCACCACCACCACAAGGGCTACCACCACCACCACAAGGGCTACCACCACCACTACCACAAAGGCTACTACCACCACCACTCCCAAAACAACCACTACTGCTACCACCACTCCTACCACAACAACCACCACTGCAACCACAACCACTACTACAACCACCACTGCTGCTCCTACCACCACTCCTACCACCACCACCCCTCCTCCTACCACCACCACCACCGCTGCGCCCATTATTGTCATCACAACCACGACACCCACCACTACTACTACTACACCTCCCACGACAACAAGGCCGCCAGGTGGGTGCCAGCCGTAGCTTGCAAGGCAATCCCTTGGTTAGATTCCCATAGAGACCAATGTCCTCTCCGCTTGGCGCCGCAAACAACAGCATTATTGCGCTTCCAAAGCAGATGTGACACCTTGTGTGGTTACCATAGGATTGGGGCCATGGATAAAAATCACCTGGCGCGTCTTCTCGGGTCTTCCCGTTCGTCAGCAGAGGAAGAAACACTTGCCTTCGCTCATTTTGTTGGGACTATTGAATATTCATGATTCTCATCTTCCTGTTAGGAATTATGGGAGTTGAAGTCGAAAATACCCGGAGGGCTGAAGTTTGCCCATGCCTGTACTAGATGCTGGAGGAGTATAATGTCCCAATGAGTATAAAGTCCTATATGCTTTGAGTCCTAGGCTCAAAGCATATAGGGAAGACCTGAATTCTCTCCATGGAGAGAACAAGGAAATGTACCTTCTCTCTGGTTGCCCCAAAATGGATCTACACCACCATATTATTAAAATAATCCAGATTATCAGCTTTGAACTGGATTATACGAGTCTACACTGCCATATAATGCAGTTCAAAGAGTCTTCTCAGCTCTTTCCATTACGTCATGTCTGAACCTTGTCCATGTGTCAGAAGATGTTGGCGGGGTAGCGACCATTAAGAACTGTCCCCCAAATGTACACGTTTTGGGGTTCAAAAGGGGTCTAAAGTTCTCCCCCTAAAGTCTGGTGGAAGTTCACACCATATCTACTGGATAGTTTAAAATATTTGGGCATTCTGGACCAAACTTTTCTATGTTTTGATATCACTTCCCCCGAATTGCCTTGCAACTATGGTTCCTTGACCATAGACCGCCCTCCTTCGCCTGGAATGGTTCACCTCGGGTCTGCTCCAAAACGGATGTGATTTTTATCCATGTTTGCAGAATAATAATCATCATAGTTTAGTGGCAAATGCAATCGTCATAATCATAGTAGTATAGTGGCAAAAACCAGAGAGGTCTGAGCTGCTCCAGATCATCTGGAAGGTGTCTGCTTTGCTTCTTTGTAGTGAACTGCTTTCTGAAGAAGAGATTGGGAACAGCTGAATGGTTGAAACTTGGGGCAGGGAATGAATAGGTTGCTTATCTGTGTTTCTTCAAGTGGTCACGTGTAGATTGACACAACTGGGGGTATCTGCCTCTTTGGAACCTTAGAATCACTCGCAGAAACTTATTCAACTGGCCCAGGCAGCAAAGAGTGTTTATCAAGCTTCGCTTCCTTCTTCTTTGTCACCAAGTCCTCTGAGTCTGTGGGTTTCTTGGTGGTTAGAGCCTTAGATTTCTTCTACGAGGGGTATTTTTTAAGTAAGGTCTGTTTTGTTGTAGGCACTAGTAGTTCATGCGCATACCGCAACGAGCGTGTGTGTCATGTACCGGCATGCCTCGGGAACAACTGTGCTCAGTTTCCGCTCTGTAGCTAACCTGTACGGTTCTGTTCTGTGCTTTAAAAATGTTTAAGACTATCAACTCACCCTCCGCATGTGAGGTTCGCTCAGTGATACGGTTTTTATCAGCAAGGAACCTGCCTGCTGCAGAAATTCATCGACAGATTTGCGAAGTGTACGGTGATACTGTTATGAGTGAAAGCAAAGTGCGTAAGTGGGTACGACAATTCAATGATGGCCGTGACAACGTTCATGATGAGAACCGCTCGGGTCGCCCTTCTTTGATTACAGACGATTTGATTTGATCGCACACTCAAATCTTTGGTTTTTGTGGTCCTCTGTTTGGAGTTTTGGGACCCAACAAGAGCACAGTTTCCTAAACTTTACGTGTTCAGAAACAATGTTGTAAAACACTGATCTCGACACGTCAGGAAATTCATTTGAGAGACCTGTTATTGTGAAGCGCCTGTTCTCACAAATCCTCGCTTCAACTGAAGCCACCAAATCGTCTGTAATCAAAGAAGGGCGACCGGAGCGGTCCTCATCATGGGCGTTGTCACAGCCATCTTTGAATTGTCGTACCCACTTACGCACTTTGCTTTCACTCATAACAGTATCATCGTACACTTCACAAATCTGTCGATGAATTTCTGCAGCAGGCAGGTTCCTTGCTGACAAAAACGGTATCACTGAGCCTCTGTAATCAAAGAAGGGCGACCGGAGTGGTCCTCATCATGGACATTGTCACGGCCATCTTTGAATTGTCATACCCACTTACGCACTTTGCTTTCACTCATAACAGTATCACCATACACAAATCTGTTGATGAATTTCTGCAACAGGCAGGATCCTTGCTGACAAAAACCGTATCACTGAGCGAACCTCACATGCGGAGGGTGAGTTGATAGTCTTAAACATTTTTAAAGCACAGAACAGAACCGTACAGGTTAGTTACAGAGCAGAAACTGAGCAGTTGTTCCCGAGGCATGCCGGTACACGACGCATGCTCTCGTTGTGGTATGCGCGCGAACTGCTAGGGTCTACAACAAAACGGACTTTACTTAAAAAATACCCCTCGTATTTTGAAGGCAATCCATCTGATGAGCGCTTAGTTGCAGGCTGTTTGGTGGAAGCGAATAGTGGTGTGTCAGCGGCGGTGGAGCCGTCGAACCAGAGACAGAGATCGAACCCGTATCAACATCACGGGTTCAGGGACACTGGGCCGATTTCAATATGTAACAAAATTTGAAAAAAAATCTGTTCCTGATTTTAAAGTGTCACTTCCTGTTTAATTGTGCGACACTTTGAAAGTATTTGCACTCAAGAAACTTTCTTTTTATTGCTGCCACAAACCTTGTTGTTTTGGTTGAGGTTCAACGAGCTAGTCCTTGAAAAACTAAAGCAGGATGTCCCACCAAAACAAAGTTTTTGCAGTTTAGGACAATGACTTAAATCGGTGACTGTTTGAATGTTTTTATACTGTTTTATATTGTGTTTATTTAAATGGTATATTTATGCTTTTGGTTGGGGGTACCATGGTGTGCCGGTTGTTAGCCACCCTGAGTTCCTCTACGGAGGTCAAGATAGGACGGGATACAAATGTCCGTAATAACTTTCCCCATGTTTTGATGATAGAACCAATTAGGAAATGACATTTATAACCCAGTCAACGCTAGGGAGCAAGAGCTTTCTGGTATAAGATAGCTTGTAAACGAGCCTCTCTGTTTTTCCGGGCCTGCAGGATGAATGCTTGAAGTTCAATACACGTCTCCACCTTGTGCTCCTCTCCAAACCAAACAAGGCATTTAGTATGGCCATCTATGTCAGCCATTTTGGTGCTACATTCCTCACACTGCTTCAACCTTGTGGTGGAGGACATCCTCGCTGATATTCAGAGGAAGTTTTCAAACAAAAAGAGCAAATACTGTTGCACAAAACTAGATTTCTAACGAAGCGGCTGCAGCACGGATGGAAAGGAACTGCGGGGTTTTGGCAGCAATGGGTTTAATGCAAAAAAAAGTTTCTGCCTTGTGATTCTAGAAAGTTCCGCAGAAACCCAGTTGTATGATTCAAAGACCACAAAAAAGAAGCAAAAACAGGATAGAGTTGCTGCTTCTTGACTTTACGGCTTGAAATCTGTTATGCCGGCAGAATTGTCCTTCGGGTCCAGTGGTATCTCTTCAGAGTTTTCTTGGGCAGGAAAGCGATTTGGACTTTCTTTGGGACCTCCGCCTCTTTCTAAACCTATGTGATTAATGTGATGTTTGTGTCCCCTCCAAGCAGCCACCGTCCGGCAGCCTGTGGACCTCCCTGCCTCCGTCTCTGTCCAAGAGGCACCCATCAAAACAGGTACTTTGCTGCCAGGTGGAGGCTTCTGCGCCCCGTTTGAGCCTCTCTTTTCACTCAGAAAGCAAAAATGAATCTTTTTAAAGAGCCTTCTTAGTGATAAGGGAGGACTCTCTTGCACTCTCCTTGCTGTTTTCCATACCATGTGCCACTATTATTAAGTGGCCCAAAACCTCCAGGGTCTCTTTGTCCAATCAAACACTGGAAACAAACAAGGAGATCATTCAACACGTTTATTTGAACACATCACCCTGCCGGGTGAACAAAGGAAAAGTGCCATATTTGAACTGAGACACAGCTCGGTTTTATATTCAACACCTTGAGCATGTACACAGGCTATTTTTATTTGAACCGTGCCTTGTCTTTATCTCTTCCTTTGTTCCTCTCTTATCAGTATGTTCTCAGCAGCGTTTCCTGTGCCTTTGTGTCACTAGCCAGTGCCTTCTGAACTTTTTCTATTTGTCTGAACTTTGGTATTTTCCCACTAGTCCCTTCACATGAACCAATATATTCCCGGTCTTTTGGGTCGGAGCGCCCATCATCCTCACAGCCATTGAACAGCATGGCAAGGGAATGATGGGAAGTGCAATCCAAAGGTATCCTTCTGATGCAGAAGGTGCCTTTGCCTATCGCTCAGGACCAATGGCTGGTTTGGGGCACTGACCCCAAACAGCGCCATAACAGCACCCCTGAATGCCAGCCGGGCAGAAGGTGAAGCTTTTGTTATGGCTGAATTAGCCATTCTCCCGTCTCTCGCTAAGCTTGAGAAGGTGTGTGCGCGAACGAACAAATGAATGAATGGCGATGGCAGACAGCAAACGAACGCGGGGACATGCCTGCAGGGCAGCCTTTGCATCGCAGCTCTAATTAAGCCCTTGCCAATTGGCAGGGAGGGCCTCCCAGTCATCCCAGTGGGCCCCCTCGGCCCCTGCTTCCCACCTTTAAAGCCTGGCTTCGGTAAAAAGAAAAGGAAAGAAAAAGAGAGAGGGGGAGAGAGGGAGGGAAGCGCAGGCCGGCGGCAGAGGAGATGACATTTCTATACCCAGTTGAATCCCTTTTCTCCCTACATTCCTCAAAATGGAGTTTTCCAAATGCGATTATTATTACTGTTGTTGTTAATTTTATTAATAATTAGCTTGAGTACCCGGTGATGCCCAAGTTATTTGAAAAGGGTATTACTTGGTCTTGGATGTTAGGTAATATCCAAAAAACTCAGTCTTTCCTGTTGCTTGTTATGAATACTCCCATTACAAAATGCATAATGATGTGGGCAGAGGCAGCCCTAGGTAATTTTCAACGGTAAGCAAACAGTATTTTGCCCCCCCTCCCCAACCAATCATTGATATATATTTTCTGTTCGTTATGGAGTTCTGTGTGCCATATTTGGTTCAATTCCATCATTGGTGGAGTTCAGAATGCTCTTTGATTGTAGGTGAACTATACATCCCAGTAACTACACTTGCCACACTTGCTCCCTTGCCTGGCCCGCTTTGGGTCCGGAGGCGTGCCTGAAGACCTCGGCGTGTGCACCAAAAGTCACCTCTTCTGACTTTCTCCTCAGCCATTGGGACCGAGAAAGAGAGAGACAGAGACAGAGGTGGAGATGCCCACCTTTCCTGGAGGTAGGCGCAAAAACAAAGGAGGGAGCGGAGGTGGGAGATACCTCCAGCCGGAGGGGCTCTCTCTCTCTCTCTCTCTTGGTCCCAATGGCTGAAGAGAAAGTCAGGAGAAGAGGCGACTTTTGGTGCGCACACTGGGGTCTTCAGACACGTCTCCGGATCCGAAGCAGACCAGGCGCGGTGGCTCCTCCCTTGGCCCACCCGTGGATTGGGGAGAGGAGAGGAGGTGGGTGGAGCTCCTGGGGATCCGGAAAGGGAGCCGGTCATGGGGAAGGGATTGAACACGGAGAACGATTGAGTGCTGGCTCTCCTTGCGCACCCGGTGGCCAGGTGGAGCAGGAACGAGAGGGGCTAGGCGAGGCTCAAGGGCCCGGCCCCTTTGGGAAGAGGATTGCCCGGCAGCGAGGCAAGAAAGCCGAGGCTCCCCCCAGACTGCTAGGGCTGTTGTGAGCTGAGGGGGCGCTCCTCAAGTGGCGGTCGAGGGGCATTTACAGAGGCGCCTCTGCGCCCCTGGCAAAAAAAGTGTTCTGCGACCGCTTACTTTGCGTAATGGACGAGCCGCCCCTGGATATGGGTGAACTGCAATTCCCCAAAGTCTTGGGTCAATCCTTCCCAAACTCTGGCAGTATTCACAGTTGATCCTGTTGGGTATGTGTGCCAAATTTGGTCCAGATCCGTCATCAGCTGGGTTCAGTACTCTTCCAGGTGAACTACAACTCTCTGAAATCAAGGCAATTCTCCCCAATCCCCTCCAGTATGTTCAATTGGTCACGGGGCTTTTCTCTGCCAAATCTGGTCCAGATCCATTGTTGCTAGGGGGTCACAATTTCTCTGGATGCAGGTGAACTATAACTCCCATAAATCAAGGTCAGTTTCCCCCAAATGTCTCCAGTATGTTCTGTTGACCATGGGGACTCTGTGTGTTGGTCCAGGTCCATCCTTCGTGGGGGTTGCAGTGCTCTGTGGGAGCCAAATTACCTCTTCCATGGTCCATTCTCCCTCGAACTACACCAGGACATAAAGTGGGTCATGGAGGAGTCTGTGTGCCATGTTTGGTCCATCATTTGTAGGGGTCACAGTGACCTGTGGAAGTGGGAATCAATAGGAAAGCTGCCACATATATATATGGAAGATGGGACTTGCAGTACCTTCACTCACTTCCTGAGACCACTGCAACCCTCGCCATTGACTGATCAAGACCAAATTTGGCACACAGAGCCCCCATCTCCCACTCTACATCCTGGTGTGGTTTGGGGAATGATGGACAATGGATGATGGGATTTGCAGTACCTTCACTCACTTCCAGAGACAACTGCAACCCACACCAATGAATGATCAAGGCCAAACTTGGCACACAAAGCCCCCATGACAGCCCCTACATCTTGGTGTGGTTTGGGGGTTGACAGACCATGGATAATGGGACTTGCAGTACCTTCACTCACTTCCTGAGACCACTGCAACCCACACCAATGATGGATCACGGCGAAACTTGGCACATAGTGCCCCCATGCTGTACTCTACATCCTGATGCAGTTTGGTGGAGGATGGACTATGGACAATGGGACTTGCAATACCTTCACTCACTTCCTGCGACCCCTACCAATGATGGATCATGGCAAAAATTGGCACACATAGCACCCATGACCCACTCTACATCTTGGAGTGGTTTGGAGGATGACAGACAATGGATGATGGGACTTGCAGTACCTTCACTCACTTCCTGAGACCACTGCAACCCCTACCAATGACAGATCACGGCAAAAATTGGCACATATAGCACCCATGACCCACTCTACATCTTGGTGAGGTTTGGAAGATTACAGACCATGGATGATGGGACTTGCAGTCCCTTCACTCACTTCCTGAGACCACTGCGACCCCCACCAATGACGAATCATGGCGAAACTTGGCACACAGAGCCCCCATGACACACTCTACATCCTGGTGAGGTTTGGGAGATGATGGGACTTGCAGTTTGCTGGAGGATGGACAATGGGACTTGCAATACCTTCACTCGCTTCCTGAGACCACTGCGACCCCTACCAATGACGGATCATGGCAAAAATTGGCACACATAGCACCCATGACCCATTCTACATCCTGGTGTGGTTTGGAAGATTACAAACCATGGATGATGGGACTTGCAGTCCCTTCACTCACTTCCTGAGACCACTGCAACCCCCACCAATGACGAATCACGGCGAAACTTGGCACACAGAGCCCCCATGACACACTCTACGTCCTGGTGTGGTTTGAGGGATGATGGACCATGGATGATGGGATTGCAGTACCTTCACTCACTTACTGAAACCACTGCCACCCTCATCCAATGACTGATAAAGACCAAACTTGGCACACAGAGCCCCCATGACCCACTCTATATCCTGCTGCTGTTTGTAGGAGGGTGGACCATGGATGGTGGGACTTCAAGTACCTTCACTCACTTCCTGAAAACAATGCAACCGTCATCCAATGACCAATAAAGACCAAACTTGGCATACAGAACTGCCATTACGCACTTTCTCTAATAATCTGGGCAGCGCCGGGTCCCCAAGCTAGTATATAATAAAAGTCAATGTTTGTGTGTGTGGAGGAGGTGTGGATATGTGGCAGCTTTCTGATTGGCTCCCACTTTCACAGACCACTGCGACCTGCACGAATAATGGACCTGGACCAAACTTGGCACACTTAACCCCCATGATCCCCTTTACATCCTGGTGTGGTTTGGGGGAGGATGGACTACGAACCGCGAAGTAGCGAGGGAACACTGTGTATCATTCCAGCCTGGTGTCCTTGGAAAAACGATGAATTGTATTGAGCGGGGGGGTCATGCTCAACAACAAAATCCTTGGAATATAACCCAACTCTTGTGTTGCTTTTGGCAGAAGCGCCCAGCTCCTCTGGCGTGGCTCCGTTGCAGGCCAGCGCCGCTCCTCCAAAGACCGAAGGTAGGAAAAGGGGTCCGGATCCAAACCCGTAGCCAGAAGCAGAACCTCCGTGTGATGCTTAGAAGTCACTGTATCTCTTCCCAGTGGAACATTCCCTGCGGTTCCCATGCCATCATTGGTGGAAACGAGAAGCCCCAGAGGGATGGAGGGCATTCTGGGCCTTCCTCCAGAGATCTCAACAAAGAAGGGAGACTAAATGGGAGAGAGAGAGATGGCCATGGAGACCACAGGGACCCCTACTGTGATGTGTAGATTTAGAAGGCCTTTGTGATACTAGCCGTGCTTTCTGTGGTTGGCGGCACCGTTTGTGCGGCGCAAATGGGGTCTTGATCTGCACTGAGTGAAGAGGGGAAGCGGAATCGTAGAATCGTAGAATCAAAAACATGCCCGGCTCTTTAAGCCGCTCCTTGAAGCCTCCAACAGAACCCTTGTCTGTTGGAGGCAAGTGTGAATGTTGCAATCGGAAAGCTTGATTAGCATAGAATGGCCTTGCAGCTGCAAAGTCAATCAGTGAGGGTATCTATCTACATAGAGGTCTCTTGGAAAGTAGGCCAGTGGGGTTTATATCCCTGTGCAGCAATCTCCAGGGTGGGAGAAAGAACTCTAGTGTAGACAAGTGTAAATGAATCGCATTGAGTAGCCTTGCAGCTGCAAAATCAATCAGTGAGGGTCTTTGCAGAGAGGTCTGTTGGAAATGAGGCAACTGGGCTGTATATATATCTATGGAATGATGTCCAGGGTGGGAGAAAGAACCTTGTCTGTTGGAGGCAAGTGTGAACGTTGCAATCGGAAAGCTTGATTAGCATAGAATGGCCTTGCAGCTGCAAAGTAAATCAGTGAGGGTATCTATCTACATAGAGGCCTCTTGGAAACTAGGCCAGTGGGGTTTATATCCCTGTGCAGCAACGTCCAGGGTGGGAAAAAGAACTCTAGTCTGCTGGAGGCAAACGTGAATGAATCGCATTGAGTAGCCTTGCAGCTGCAAAGTCAATCAGAGAGAGTCTCTGCAGAGAGGTTTGTTGGAAGTGAGGCAACTGGACTGTATATATGATGTGATGCAAGTGTGAAGGTTGCCATTGGCCACTTGATTAGCATAGAATGGCCTTGCAGGTGCAAAGTCAATCAGTGAGGGTCTCTGCAGAGAGGTCTGTTGGAAATGAGGCAACTGGGCTGTATATATATCTATGGAATGATGTCCAGGGTGGGAGAAAGAACCTTGTCCGTTGGAAGCAAGTGTGAATGTTGCAATCGGAAAGCTTGATTAGCATAGAATGGAATGGCAGCTGCAAAGTCAATCAGTGAGGGTCTCTGCAGAGAGGTCTGTTGGAAATGAGGCAACTGGGCTGTATATATATATGTATGGAATGATGTCCAGGGTAGGAGAAAGAACCTTGTCTGTTGGAGGCAAGCGTGGATGTTGCAATCGGAAAACGATTAACATAGAATGGCCTTGCAGCTGCAAAGTCAATCAGTGAGGGTCTCTATGGAATGATGTCCTGGGTGAGAGAAAGAACCTTGTCTGTTGGAGGCAAGTGTGAATGTTGCAATCGGAAAGCTTGATTAGCATAGAATGGCCTTGCAGCTGCAAAGTCAATCAGTGAGGGTATCTATCTACATAGAGATCTGTTGGAAACTAGGCCAGTGGGCAGTAATGTCCGTTCCTTATGGTGGACTTAAAGCCAAGCCTTCTTTTCAAGCTGCTGCCTCCGTCCCGGAGAAGCCGCGACCCGCCCCTGCCGCCAAGGAGCCTCCCGAGAACATCAGAGGTAAGCCAGGGAAGGCAGCACATGCCAAGGGCAGGCCGGACACATGGGCACGCGCCGGGCTCGAAATAGACGGGATTCCGGCCGGGGCACCTGGGAACACCCCGCAAGCGCCTGGGCGCACCAATGGCAGGGCCCGGCAACTGGGCCTCTCCAGCGACTTAGAGATAATCGCCCGCTGATCCTTTGAGTCTTAAAGCTCTTTCTCCTCCTGCTCTTCTTTCTCTGGCCAAGCAAAGAGGCCCTTCCTTGCATGGATGCGCTTTTTCGCGCTGCCCTTTGTGGATGCGAGTTTGCAAACAGTGTCCAGAGGCAAATGAGGACAGAAGGCTTTGGGCCGGAGCTGTGTATCACAGGATCCAATGCAGAGAGAGAGGCAACATCACCCCCTGTGTATCATAGTGCATACATTACATCATATTGCATTACATTATCTTGTGCATATATAGCCACCACATCACCCCCTGTGCATTGCAGTATGTACATTATATCACAGAATATATTATGTGATCTGATGCAGATCTATAGATGCATTGTATCACAAAATATATGGTCCAACACAGATATAGATGCAACATCATCCTCTGTGTATTGCAGTGCATGCATTATATCATAGCACATTAGATGATCTCGTGCAGATATATTATTATTATTATTATTATTATTATTATTATTATTATTATTATTATTAACTTTATTTATACCCCGCAAAATCTCCCGAAGGACTCGATGCGGCTTACAAAGGCCAAGGCCGCCGACAACACAGCATACAATACACAATAAACTCAAAAGCAAATAATAAACCATCAAGCAAGACAACAAGACAATATAGATGCCACATCATCCCCTGTGTACTATAGTGTATGTATCACATCACATTATCTAATGCAGATATATATGCCACACTATCCCATGTATTATAGTGTATGCATCGTATCACTATATATATATATATATATATATATATATATATATTATAAAACATCATATTATCTAATGCCAGTACAGATGCCACATCATCGCATATATTATTGTGTATGCATATATAATATAATATATAATATATATTATATATTATATAATATCACATCATATTATCTAATGCTGATACAGCTGCCACATCATCGCATGTATTATAGTGTATGCATATAATATATAATATATAATATAATATAATATATATAATATAATATATATAATATATTATATAATATCACATAATATTATCTAATGCCAATACAGGTGCCACATCATCGCATGCATTGTAGTGTATGCATATAATATATATTATATTACATTATATATGCATACACTACAATACTATAATACATATGATGATGTGGCATCTGTATCGACATTAGATAATATGATTTGATATTATATAATATATAATATATTATATATTATATAATATATATTATATAATATCACATCATATTATCTAATGCTGATACAGATGCTACATCATCTCATGTATTATAGTGTATGCATATAATATATAATATATTATCTATTATCTATTATATATTATATCATATCGCATCAAATTATCTAATGCCGATACAGATGCCACATCATCGCATGTATTAGAGTGTATGCATATAATATATATAATATCATATCATATTATCTAATGCAGATACAGATGCCACACCATCATCACATTACATCCCATTATACAATTTCATGCAGATATAGATGACATAACATAACTACACGTTTTACAGTGTACGTATTATATATCATGTGATCCAATACAGATAACATATCATATAATTGCTTGATAATACATACACTATTGCATGTGAATTATTGTGTATCCATTGTCTCACATCATACTGTGTTGCCACATCATAGGACATTTCCGAGGAAAGAAATTGACTTCCCTTTCCAGGCTTTCCCTGTTAAAGAGATAGAGTTTTGTGTCACGTTTTCTATGGCTGGAAGGAAACCAATCCTTCCTTGAACTACAATTCCCAAGCTCCCTTGGATGGGAGATGGGCACGGTGGTGCTCCTTTCCCGGTGCTTTCGGCATCCTCTTTGCTTCCCTTTTGTCCCAAACGCAGCCCCTCCGAAGGCCAAACCGGCACATGGTGTGGCGAAAAAACACGGCAAGAAACCAGGTACTAGGCATCGTTGGCTTCTAGTTGCGTCTTAGACGGCTATTTATCGCTTTTGCTGGTGGTGAAAGTCTAGAGGCGCCAGCGGGCAACCTGATAGCTCACGCTGGACCTTGTTTGGATGCAGGAATGGTTTTGGTAGGCTTCCGTAGTATGGGATGGATGGATGGATTGTCAATCAAACTCTTGTATCAGCTGATCCTCAGCATTTCACTATTTATTTATTTACTAGCCGTCCCCTGCCATGTGTTGCTGTGGCCCAGTCTGTGTATATGTGTTTGTGTGTGTATATAAGCATATCTGTGTGTATATATGTGTGTTTGTGTAATATATGTGGTTTTGCACATGCACTGTGGAGTCTTTTTGCTTATACTCAACTCAGCATTTCACTATTTATTTACTAGCCATCCCCTGCCACACATTGCTGTGGCCCAGTCTGTGTATATGTGTGTGTGTGTATATATAAGCATATCTGTGTGTATATATGTGTGTGTATATATGTGGTTTTGCACATGCGCTGTAGCGTCTTTTTGCTTATACTCAAGTCAGCATTTCACTATTTATTTACTAGCCACCCCCTGCCACTCATTGCTGTGGCCCAGTCTGTGTATATGTCTCTCTGTGTGTATATATTTGTGTATATGTGTATATATGTGTGTTTGTGTAGATATGTGGTTTTGCACATGCGCTGTAGCATCTTTTTGCTTATACTCAACTCAGCATTTCATTATTTATTTGTTTGTTTGTTTACTAGCCGTCCCCTGCCACACGTTGCTGTGGCCCTGTGTGTGTATATATGCATATATATGTGTGTGTGTTTGTGTATATATGTGGTTTTGCACATGCATTGTAGCATCTTTTTTGCTTTTTAAATCCCTTCTGCTGTGTTTTTCAGTGTTTTTAGGAGTGATGGTCACTCGTTGGCCTGAGAGGTGTCTTGTGTCCAAATTTCATGTGAATTTGCCCAGTGGTTTTTGAGTTATGTTAATACCACAAACGAACATTAAAATTTTATATATATACTAGCCGTCCCCTGCCAAGCGTTGCTGTGGCTCACTCTGTTGGTCATGGGGGTTCTGTGAGGGAGGTTTGGCCCAATTCCATCATTGGTGGGGTTCAGAATGCTCTGTGATTGTAGGTGAACTACAAATCCCAGGAACTACAACTCCCAAATGTCGATTCTATTTTCCCCAAACTCCACCAGTGTTCAGATTTGAGCATATTGAGTATTCATGTAGAGTTTGGTCCAGATCTATCATTGTTTGAGTCCACAGTGATCTCTGGATGTAGGTAAACTACAACTCCAAAACCAAAGGACACTGCCCACCAAACCCTTCCAGTATTTTCTGTTGGTCATGGGAGAACTGTGTGCCAAGTTTGGTTCAATTCCATTGTTGGTGGAGTTCAGAATGCTCTTGGATTGTAGGTGAACTATAAATCCCAGCAACTACAACTCCCAGATGACAAAATCCATTTTTTGAGTGAAGGACATACATTCAGTTGTTAGGTGTCTTGTGTCCAAATTTGGTGTCAATTCGTCCAGTGGTTTTTGAGTTCTGTGAATACCACAAACGAACATTACATTTTTATTTATATAGATTTATATAGATTTACAGTATTTATATTCCACCCTTCTCACCCTGAAGGGACTCAGGGCAGATCACAGAACACATACACGGCAAACATTCAACGCTGTTAGACAGACAGGAGAGACAACAGAGAGATATATTATGTCGGCATTTTCCCCATCTTTGGCATCTTGGAGATTGTGCTCGATTCCAGCCATAAGGGGGTGCTGTCACTACATCCTCTACTATTCCTTGATCACAGACTTCCTCTTTCCTTTGATCACCGGCATTTTCTGGTATTTTCCTTCTGGTGCCGTAAAATATCTCCCCACTTAAGCGGTGCCTAACTTCTCTACTCAAGACTTGCTTAGGTGGGGCTCACCCAACCCGGGCTTCAAACTGGCAACCTTTTGATTGTTGTGATCTCTTGCTACTGGTGATTAACCAGCTGTGATAAAGCCTGGCCCTGTCTAAAATGTAACATCTCAGAAAGGTAAATTCGGTCACGTTTTCCGATCTGGATCCATTTCCTCTGAGTTTGATTTTGGGGCAATAGTGGCAATAACATCGCAGTAGTGACTCAGCGGCGGTCATGAATGTGGAATAGAGTGTTCCCTCACTTATCGCGGGTGTTATGTTCCAAGACCACCCGCAAAAAGTGAAAATCCGTAAAGTAGGGATGCTATATATGTATATTGTGTTCCAAGGGTGAGACAGAAGCAAGGAGAGATTTAAAGACACCACACACCTAGCTATCGCTGCTTTGCTTTGCAATCTCTCTTGATTGGCGGCCTCTCTCCTGAGGGGGAGGGTGAAACCCCCTTCCACACTCCGTCATTGCCAGGAGGCAGGATTAGAATGCCGCTCTGGGCAATGGCAACCATTCATAAACCGGGAGGCAAAAACCCGCAAAACAGCGAGTCCGCGAAAAATGAACCGCGAAGTAGCGAGGGAACACTGTATACGCATATATACACACACAAAATACAGACACAGACTGGGCCACAACAACGCATGGCAGGGGACAGCTAGTACTATATATTATTAGTTGACTTTGAAATGATGCCTAGTTAAGAAAACCGCGAAACAGCGAGTCCGCAAAAAGTGAACTGCGAAGTAGCGAGGGAGCACTTTATATGCATATATACACACAAGTCCTCAAAAAGTGAACCACGAAGTATATACACACACAAAACACATACACAGACTGGGCAACAGCAACGTGGGGTAGGGGACAGCTAGTATACGCATATATACACACACAAAACACATACACAGACTGGGCAACAGCAACGTGTGGCAGGGGACAGCTAGTACTATATATTATTAGTTGACTTTGAAATGATGCCTAGTTAAGAAAACAACAAAACAGCTAGTCCGCAAAAAGTGAACCGCAAAGTAGTAAGGGAGCACTGTATACGCTTATATACACACACAAAGCACATACACAGACTGGACCATAGCAACACGTGGCAGGGGACAGCTAGTACTTACTATATATTATTAGTTGTCTTTGAAATGATGGCTAGTTAAGAAAACCGCAAAACAGTGAGTCCGCGAAAAGGGAACCGCGAATTAGTGATACGCATATATACACACAAAATACACATACACAGACTGGACCACAGCAATGCGTGGCATGGGACAGTTAGTACTATATATTATTAGTTGACTTTGAAATGATGGCTACTTAGGAAAACCCCGAAACAACGAGTCCGCGAAAACGAACCGCGAAGTAGCGAGGGAGCACATAACACACACAAAACACGTACACAGACTGGGCCACAGCAACGCATGGCAGGGGACAGCTAGTACTATATATTATTAGTTGACTTTGAAATGAAGGCTAGTTAAGAAAACCGCAAAACAGCGAGTCCGCAAAAAGGGAACCGCGAAGTAGCGATACACATATATATACACACAAAAAACATACACAGACTGGGCCACAGCAACGTGTGGCAGGGGACAGCTAGTACTATATACAGCTAGTACTATATATGTATTATTAGTTGACTTTGAAATGATGCCTTGTTAGAAAAACAGCGAAACAGCAAGTCCGAGAAAAGCGAACCGTGAAGTAGCGAGGGAATACAAAACACACACAAAACACATACACAGACTGGGCCACAGCAACGCATGGCAAGGGACAGCTAGTACTAGATATTATTATATACACATACACAGACTGGGCCACAGCAACGCGTGGCAGGGGACATTTAGTACTATATATTATTAGTTGACTTTGAAATGATGGTTACTTAGGAAAACCGTGAAACAATGAGTCTGCGAAGAGCGAACCGCGAAGTAGCGAGGGAGCACAAAACACACTCAAAACACATACACAGACAGCTACAGCAACACATGGCAGGGGACAGCTATTACTATATATTATTAGCTGACTTTGCAATGATGCCTAGTTAAGAAAACTGTGAAACAGCGAGTCCGCGAAGTAGCGAGGGAGCACTATATACACATATACACATACACAAAACACATAAACAAACTGGGCTACAGCAACACATGGCAGGGGACAGCTAGTACTATATATTATTAGTTGACTTTGCAATGATGGCTACTTAGGAAAACCGCGAAACAACGAGTCCGCGAAAAGTGAACCATGAAGTAGCGAGGGAGCACAAAACACATACACAGACTGGGCCACAGCGACACATGGCAGGGGACAGCTAGTACTATATACTATTAATTGACCTTGAAATGATGCCTAGTTAAGAAAACTGTGAAACAGCGAGTCTGTGAAGTAGCGAGGGAGCACTGTATACGCACAAAACACATACACAGACTGGGCCACAGCAACGCATGGCAGGGGACAGGTAGTACTATATATTATTAGTTGACTTTGAAATGATGCCTAGCTAGGAAAACCGTGAAACAACGAGTCTGCAAAAATTGAACTGCGAAGTAGTGCGGGAACACTGTCGTTGTGAGTTGATCTAGGCAATGTTCTGTATTGGCTTTCGGTCTGCTGATGTGATGCTTATGGCGTAGTTTTTGTGATGCTGGCATGTTTCAAGAGGCAGGCTTTGCATCCAAAGGGGAAAACTATATCTCTTCGTCCCCTTTCTAAGCATCTCCCAAGGTCTCCAAACTCATCCGGCTCAAATCCGGCTCCGTTCCAGTGGCTCCCATTGAAACCTTCAAAGGTAAGCGGGAAGGGGACACTCACAAGTGGGTGAGGATGTGGGACTGGGCGTCAACAGACCCGTCTATGGCTCTGAATCGAGGAGACCTTTGGGGTCTGTGGGTCTTCCATCTATACCTATGGGGCCATACATGTTCTTGGGACTTCAGTCACGTTCTGCAAAAGGACGTGCCGTTCTCCATCCTTGCGCAGCATGCATCCCAGGTTGCAAAGTGCTGGCGCAGGGATTCAACGGCCAGCTGAAGCCGACGGAGCAGTTTCTGGATCATGCGGTGGTTATGATGGGGTTTTGTTTTAATGACGACCACCTGATCCTGCTCTTGCATCTTGAGCTAAGGCTGAAACCAGATACATTTCTTAAAAAAGCAAAATGAGGAAGGCTGGGCTAGAAACCATTGCAAGGGAGCGACGAATAACGCATTTCCTTCCAGGGAAGGCCGCAAACTTCTGGGGCTATACTTGCGCTTTGCGCCCCTTTCCATGCTCTTTTGTGTGGCTTCCATTCATTGCATGCCATCTCATGCTCCCTTTCCTAAAGCAATGAAGTTCCCCAAACCTGACCATTCTTGTGTCTTTGGAAGAGAAGAGCACGTCTTTCTCCCCATCTTCCTTGACCTGCATGCAGGTTTCTCCCTTCAAGACCCTTCCATACCATCATCTTTTGGAAAACGAGAGCAATAGGTGGCGGAGAGCCATATCTGATATTCATGTGACTCTGAACAGTAATGCTCACTTTTGGGGGCTAAATGACCTCGCCAAAAGTAGGGCCCGTATTAGATAATACGGCCATCGTAGTGCTATGGGAAAGAGGAGCCACGGGAAAGACGGGAGAGAAGGGAGCTATGGGAAAGGGAGGGAGCTACTGGAAAGATGGCCGTTATGGGAAAGAAGGGAGCTTCAAGAAAGACAGGAGCTAAGAGAAGGAGGGAAGCTATGAGGAAGACAGGAGGGAAGGGAGCTATGGGAACGGGGAGCAATGAGAAAGAACGCTGCAGGAAGGGAGGAAGCTACAGGAGGGAAGGGAGCTACAGGAAAGGGGAGTTATGGGAAGGAAGGGAGTTGCGGGAAGGTAAGGAGCTATGGGAAAGGGGAGCTACGGGAGGGAAGGGAGCTGTGAGAAGGTAGGGAACTACGGGAGGGAAGCGAGCCACAGGAAGGTAGGGAACTACGGGAGGGAAGGGAGCTGCGGGAAGGTAGGGAACTATGGGAGGGAGGGGAGCTGCGGGAAGGTAGGGAACTACGGGAGGGAGGGGAGCTGCGGGAAGGTAGGGAACTACGGGAGGGAGGGGAGCTGCGGGAAGGTAGGGAGCTACGGGAGGGAGGGGAGCTGCGGGAAGGTAGGGAGCTACGGGAGGGAGGGGAGCTGCGGGAAGGTAGGGAGCTACGGGAGGGAGGGGAGCTGCGGGAAGGTAGGGAGCTACGGGAGGGAGGGGAGCTGCGGGAAGGTAGGGAGCTACGGGAGGGAGGGGAGCTGCGGGAAGGTAGGGAGCTACGGGAGGGAGGGGAGCTGCGGGAAGGTAGGGAGCTACGGGAGGGGGGAGCTGCGGGAAGGTAGGGAACTACGGGAGGGAGGGGAGCTGCGGGAAGGTAGGGAGCTACGGGAGGGAGGGGAGCTGCGGGAAGGTAGGGAGTTACATGAGGGAAGGGAGCTGCAGGAAGGTAGGGAGCTACGGGAGGGAAGGGAGCTGTGGGAAGGTAGGGAGCTACAGGACGGGAGCTGTGGGAAGTTAGGGAGCTACGGGAGGGAAGGGAGCTGTGGGAACAGGGAGCAATGAGAAAGAAGAGTGCTGCAGAAAGGGAGGAAGCTACAGGAGGGAAGGGAGCTATGGGAATGGGGAGCTATTTATTTATTTATTATATTTGTATACCGCCCCTCTCAACCCGGAGGCGACTTGAGGCGGGGAGCTATGGGAAGGAAGGGAGCTATGGGAGAGAAAGATAGGAGTTACAGGAAGGAAAGGAGCTACATTAAAGAAGGGAGATACCGGAAAGACTGAGCCACAGGAGGGAAGAGAAAGATGGGAGATACCGGAAAGATGCACTACAGGGGGGGAATGAGGTAGGTACCGGAAAGATGGGAGCTACGGGAGGGAAGTGTCCTATGCGATTGATGGTACCTATGGGGAAGGGAAGCTATAGGAAGGAAGGCAGCCATGGCAGGGAAGGAAGGTACGTGCCTTGACCTCCTCCTTTCCTCCGCCAGACTGCGAGTGCTACGGCCACTCCAACCGGTGCAGCTTCATCGACTTCCTCAACCTGGTGACCTGTATCAGCTGCAAGCACAACACGCGGGGACAGCACTGCCAGCACTGTCGCCTGGGCTTCTACCGCAACAGCTCCGCCGAGTTGGACGACGAGAATGTCTGCATTGGTGAGAAGCCCGAATGGACCCTCGGTTTGAGGGGTTCCTTCATTTAACTCCCCTGAATATCCCTCCCGGTCCTCCCCCAGCCCCTCGGCACGGCCATGCTGCATCACACTGTTGGCTTATGTTTACACAGAATTGCCCATTCTGTCCAACCCCATTCCACCATGGTGGAAGGCACCATTAAACCCCTCCCGACAGATGGCCACTCGACCTCAGGAAGGTCGTTTCTTGTCTTTCAGGACTAGATGCTCCTTTGGAAAGGGAGCCCAAAGGCCCCTTGCAATACCTGCTGTGCCTTGCCTTCTTCATTGACATATTTGCTTCCTTGTCTTGGGCAGACTGCAACTGCAACCGCGTGGGCTCCGTGGCCAACCGCTGCAACGAGACCGGCTACTGTGACTGCAGGGACTATGTCACGGGCCCAAAATGTGACGAATGCGTCTCCGGCTACTACTGGCGGCAGGGATGCCTGCGTAAGTATCCCCGCTCAGGGTCTGAAAGAGGGCTCCTGATTGATCCTTTTGGGTCAGCGGTTGCAGCAGATAACACTGTGTAAGATGATTTTTGTTCCTGGTTTACCAATGTCATTTCCTAATTGGTTCTATCATAAAAACATGGTTTCCTTGCGTAATAGTCACACCCTTATTTTTTGATGAAAAAAAGAGGGGGAGCGACTATTATGTGATGAAATATGGCCAGTTTAATTTCTTCCTTTGCAAGTGACCTCTTGCCCTGCCCTCTGTGTTTTACTTGTGTAATAGTCGCACCCCTCTTTTTTGATAAAATGGGGGTGCGACTATTATGTGACGAATTATAGCCTGTGTTATGTCTTAGCTTTCTTTGCGAATGACCTCTCACCCTGCCCTCTGTGTTGTTTTCCTCGCATAATAGTCATACCACTTTTTGATGGAAAAAATGTGACGAAATGCAGCCTGTATGCCATCTCTTTCTTTGCAAGTGACCTCTTGCCCTGTCCTGTGTTGTTTTCCTTGGGCAACAGTCGTACCTGCGACTATTATGTGACAAAATACAGCCTGTGTGACTTCTTCCCTTCCTTTCCTTTTCCATGTGTAATAGTCACACTCCTCTTTTTTGATAAAATGGGTATGTGTATGTGATTCTATTATGTGATGAATTACAGCCTGTGTTACCTCTTGTCTTTCTTTGTGAGTGACCTCTCACCCTGCCCTCTGTGTTGCTTTCCTCGCATAATAGTGATACCCCTTTTTGATGTAAAAAGGGGGAGTGCCACCATTATGTGACAACATACGGTCTGTATGATGTCTTGTTTCTTTGCGAGTGACCTCTCACCCTGCCCTCTGTGTTGTTTTCCTCACATAACAGTTGTACCCCCTTTTTTATTAAGCCTGTGTGACTTCTTCCCTTCCTTTCCTTTTCCATGTGTAATAGTCACACTCCTCTTTTTTGATAAAATGGGTATGTGTATGTGATTTTATTATGTGATGAATTACAGCCTGTGTTACCTCTTGTCTTTCTTTGTGAGTGACCTCTCACCCTGCCCTCTGTGTTGTTTTCCTCACGTAACAGTCATACCCCCTTTTTTTATTAAAAAAGAGGGGAGCGTGACTATTATGTGATGAAACACAGCCTGTGTGACGTCTTCCCATCCTTTGCGAGTGACCTCTCACCCTGCCCTCTGTGTTGTTTTCCTCACGTAACAGTCATACCCCCTTTTTTTATTAAAAAAGAGGGGAGCGTGACTATTATGTGATGAAACACAGCCTGTGTGACGTCTTCCCATCCTTTGCGAGTGACCTCTCACCCTGCCCTCTGTGTTGTTTTCCTCACGTAACAGTCATACCCCCTTTTTTTATTAAAAAAGAGGGGAGCGTGACTATTATGTGATGAAACACAGCCTGTGTGACGTCTTCCCATCCTTTGCGAGTGACCTCTCACCCTGCCCTCTGTGTTGTTTTCCTCACGTAACAGTCATACCCCTTTTTTATTAAAAAAGAGGTGAGTGTGACTATTATGTGATGAAACACAGCCTGTGTGATGTCTTCCCATCCTTTGCGAGTGACCTCTCACCCTGCCCTCTGTGTTGTTTTCCTCACGTAACAGTCGTACCCCCTTTTTTATTAAAAAAGAGGTGAGTGTGACTATTATGTGATGAAACACAGCCTGTGTGATGTCTTCCCATCCTTTGCGAGTGACCTCTCTCTTGTCTGTGTCCCTGCAGCCAACGTCTGTGACGACGAGCTGCTCCTCTGCCAGAATGGGGGCACCTGCTCTGGCAACCAGCGCTGCCTCTGCCCACCGGGCTTCAAGGGGGTCCTCTGCGAACAGACCAAGTGTGAGGGCGAGAACCAGGACTGTGATGCCACCGGGCCCCGTCTGTCCCTCAGTCCTTGTGCCGCCCTCCTCGGCGCCCTGGGCCTCCACCTGAGACACACCATGGACCTCTGAGGCTGGGCCCACACGCCCCAATGGGGGGATGCGAGAGGCTGAACGCAGGGAAGCAAGAGGGGCCTTCCTTTGCTCCAAGAGGATCCGAGGGCCCCGCTCTCCCTCCTTTTGGCACCCCCGTCTTCGAGGACGGTGGCCATCAGGGAGCGATCCATGGACCGGCAATGGCTTCCTCCTCTATTGATCGATAAGAATCTGCCAAAAAAAGAAAAGCGTGTCGCCAATCTCCGGTGTCGAGCTGCGCAGCTGTTTATCTCCGAGTCTCTTTTCCGTTTGTTACTTTCTGAAGCCGCCATCTTTCCCGTGGAGATGGCTGGCCGAGGAACTCGGTGGACTCCGTCCGTCCCACCGGCCGAACCCTGGCGTTATACTGTTGCCTACAAATCGAGTTGCTGAATTTTATTAAGTTTTTGTACGGTATTTTTTTTCCTTCCTCTCCTCGGTTTCTACTTCTTTGGTTGTCGGGAGTTTTTTGGTTCCTTTCCTCGGGGCGGAACGAGGCCGCTTTGTAACGCGCTGCCCAGGCTTTACGGTTCAAGATCCCGCCTCCCTTTTTTTTAAAGTAGAGGATTATCTTAATTTGGTGATAAATGTCCTCAAAGGATAACAAAACACACGACCACTAACGCCGCCACTCACTAGAGAGAAGTTTTGCTGTAAGCGTTATGATGTAATAATCCCCACGACAGTAAAGCAACCTACTCATGGCTCCCGCTTGGTTTCCTTTTTCTTATAGCAATGTTGGTGCGTAGTTTCAGATTAGATTGGAACTCGTATGTGATTAGTTAAATTTGGGGATATGAAGGTGAGTTCCGAGTCATCATCATCATCATTTAATAACTTATTAATTACCCTCCATCCGAGAATGCTCCAGGCGATTTACAGCTAAATTATAAAAGATAAAATACATACATACAAAAATTAAAAATCAACAGAGATCGAATGCTCTAGTAAAAAGCCAGGTCTTAAGTGCGAGAGTAAAAGGCCCTAAGTCACGCATGGCTCTCATGTAGGGCGGCAAGGAATCCCACAAGACAGGGGCAGAAATAGAGAAAGCCCATCTGCGCCTGGTCCTTTCCAAGTGCACTTCTCTAGGACCCGGTATATAGAGTAAGTCGCGTTGGGCTAGTCGTTGCGACCTCCGATGATGGGAGAAGCAGAGGCGGTCCCTAAGGTACGATGGACCCTGGCCGTAAAGAGTTTTAAAGGTCAGAACTAGCATCTTATACAGGCCACGGTACTCAGTTGGAAGCCAATGTAAATGTTGCAGCACTGGTGTTATATGGCATTTCATGGGCGTTCTTGTGAGTACCTGGCTGCCGCATTCTGAACAATACGAAGCTTTCGGGTCGTAGACATCGGAAGGCCCACATACAGGGCGTTGCAATAGTCCAGCCTAGACGTGACCGTGGCATGGATGACAGTTGCCAGAGTCTCGTCAGATAGGTAGGGTGCCAGTTGCCTCGCTTGTCGTAGATGGAAAAAGGCCTGTTTGCTGGCAGCAGCGACCTGAGCTTCCATTGCCAGCTGCGAATCCAGGACGACACCTAAGCTCTTAACAGTGGTCGATGGAGATAGGGTGGCACCATCGAAGGTGGGTAACGGAGGAGTTAGACCTGCCGAGCGGCCATGCCAGAGAATCTCAGTCTTCGCCGGGTTCACCTTCAGTCTGCTAGCACGTAGTCAGTTTGACAGAGCTTCCAGGCATAGGGTGAAATTGTCTGGAATTGACGTTGCTCCAGGCTCCAGGCGCGGAAGGAGTTGGGTATCGTCTGCATATTGTTAGCAGTCCGGGCCGAAACTCCGAGCCAAACTAGCAAGGGGTCTAACGTAGATGTTGAAGAGAAGAGGAGAGAGAATTGCACCTTGGGGGACCCCACATAGGAGGGGGGATCTATCGGAGACTTGATCCATGTACTCCACGCGTTGACTCCGGTTCCAGAGTCATGCAGAAAAAGTGTGTGTGTGTGTGTGTGGGGGGGGGGGGGGGGGAGAATTTGAATCACTCATTTTTTCGTAAATACTCTGTAACGTTCAGCTGTCAATCCTGCCGGCTGCCAGGAATTGTGGACGTTGAAGTCCAAAACACCTGGAGGGAGAGACAAAGATTGCTCAGGCCTGACCTAAAGACTAGAGAGTAGGCTGGTGCATAATTTCAGATTAGATCGGAAATTGTATCTGATTTGTTAAATTTGGGCATTTTTCTTTTACTTCTTTTTACGTGCCAAAAGCGTCTCGGTACCGGTCGCTGTAGTCGGCAATTCTTCTTCCCCTCGAGGGAACGGACCGGGGGGTGGGGGACGCTCCACTCATAAAGTGCGACATTCAGACAAAGTACCAGATTTTTCCTTGTTTGTCCGTCCCTCAGGCACAACAAACATAACAAAGGGCCAACTCTGTCTGAATAGCTTGCTGAGCTATTCAGGCCAAAGTGGCCGCCATGACGGTTGAAAGGAGAATACTTAGTCAGAAATCCAGCAAACAGACCAGGTCAGAGTGGAGAAAGTCAGACAGTGATAGACAGCCTGGTTTAGTCAGTCAGGCAGTCCAAAAAAGCTAGTCACACAAACAAAGGTTCTCAGCTGCTGACAGGGCGGCGGATGAAGAGAACTGAGGCGATGGCACCGCCCACCTGCTACTTATACTTGCAAGGGGAGAGTGGGCGGGGCAACCGCCAAAGTTTTTCAAATCTATCTAGAAGGTTCTGAAACTGCTCAGGCGCAGAAACTACCATATGTGCGTATTCAGTTGACCACGATGGAAAAGGTAGTGGTAGGAATTTACGATTTGAATCACTCATTTTTTCGTAAATGTTTCATAACGTTTGGATGTCTCCCAAGGTCAGTTTAATTTTCACTATCACCATTAAGCAACTTTGGTAAAGCTGCTTTTAAAATCCTTTAACAATCTCATACCTTTGGCCCCATCTTCACCAGCACTGCCATAAGGGAGGCGCTGTGGGTGTGGCTAATCACAACCATCTGAACTGTAGTTTGGGAAGGCCAGGTCCCGCAGTGGTAGAGATTGCAAAAGGCCCTGCCATAAACTACATTTCCCAGGATGCCTCGGAAGGAGAATGCGCCAATCAGGAGAAGAGAGAGAAAATTATCCCTACCCTTAACAGTTTTCTGAAAACTTTAAAATAAATCCCTCAAATCAGTAAATGTACAGTGTTCCCTCGCTACTTTGCTTTTCGCGGACTCGCTGTTTCGCGTTTTTTTTAAATTAAAATATATGGTACAAGTAGCGAGGGAACATTGAACAGAAAGGCCCCGCCAATGTGTGTGTGTGAGAGAGGCACCTCATCGCTGCCTGCGCCCCCTTCCTGGTTCTTTTTCCCTCCAAAGGGAAAAAGGTGGCTCTTCTTCCCTCCTCACCCTCTTTACCTTCCTCCTCCTCCTCCTCCTCGGTGTCTCCCTTCCCTCCAACAGGTTGAGCCTGGGCGTTGCGGCTGCTGCTCCAGAAGCGGTGGAGGATGCACCTTGTTGCCGCCAGCGCCTCTTCCCACCACTTCGGCCCCGCGACGCCTCCGCCGCATCCTCAATCGTTCTAGAAGTGGATAGTCCCAGCAGAAGAGGCATCATTTATTTATTTATTTATTTATTTATTTATTTATTTATTTACTATGCTTATATACCGCTGTATCTCAAGCCCGAGGGCGACTCACAGCGGTTCACAAACAGTATAGACAATAAAAACAGCAATAGTTCCATACAACAATGACAATTAATTTACACATTTTCCATTAATAACTAATAAGCAATCCCAATACACAGCTATTACAAAAAACCCCATACCCAATCGACTCATCATCCACGCATGATCCAGGTTCGTCGTCCATTGTTCCATTCCTATGTTCAGTTACCAGATTGCACTAAATTACTCAAACGCCTGCACAAA